GGATTTTCAGGAATCGATCTGCTACCAGGAGGTCCACTTATCGACCTAGAATACGCAGATGACATAGTCGTGTTTGGAGATGTTAATAAAATGCAGAGTCTTTTGATAGGGCACAGCAACAATACCAGAATGTTTGTGATGTGCTTCTCCCCTTCTAAATGCAAGCTGTTGCTTCAAGACTGGCCTGCGTCAACGCCTGAACTAAGGATAGGGAGTGAATTAATCGAACGTGTTGACAACTTCACCTATCTTGGAAGTCCGATCAACCCTAATAGGTTGGTGTCTGAGGAATTCTGTGCACGGATTCGAAAAGCTCGTTTGGCTTTTGCCAACTTACGTCAACTATGGCGAAGGCGAGATATCCGTCTATCAACTAAGGGACGAGTATACTGCACGGCAGTTCGTTCTGTTCTACTTTACAACTGCGAAACGTGACCTTTAAGAGTAGAAGACACTCGTAAACTACTAGTATTTGACCACATATGTCTTAGAAGTATTGCTGGCATCTGCTGGGATCACCGGGTAAGTAATAGTGAGGCTAGACGCAGGGTATTGGGGCGTGATGGTAAATCAGTTGATGAGGTTGTGAATCTTCATGGACTGAGATGTTTGGGCCACGTGTTGTGTATGCCTGGACACCGATTACCACGACGCGCAATAATGACTAGTGTTGAGGATGGTTGGAAGGAAGTTAGGAGCGGCTAGACCAAAACGTAGCATCAGTGCTTGACGCCAATAACTTCTAGTCTGAGTCATGTTAGTAGATGCGAACTACTCGGTTGGGGTCCGCTTGACTATCGTAACCAATGGTTGGAGACTCTGTGTGACATGGCTCAGAATCGATCACAATGGCGTAGGTGTATATACTCTCTGTCTTCCCTTGAACAATGAGATTAAAATTGCTCCATAGTTTTCTTTCTACCAACTAATTCTTTCTTCCTGTACTATAACCTTATATGCAATCTTTCTTTCATATATTACCACCATTGAATTAACTACTTCAATGTATTTGGTGTTCATCTTGTTGTGCTAATGAGGCATAGCAGCTTGGACCGATGCATATATGTGTCTGGTCCTATGTTGTAGCTGACTGACTGATTGTTTCCAAACACTACTTTTTTTCAGTTATGTTAAGATAATCCTGTTGGTCAACGATTGCTGAATTATCATAGGTTTTTTCCGTCAGTCAAGGATTTTGGTGAAAACTCTGTAAGACTAATAATAAGTGCATAACAACTCCATCTATGACTACTGTCCGTCCTACACCAGAGTAAAGGAGAAGGTTTAGTTGTTCGGTTAGTAAGCTTACCTCGCAAAAGGGAATTCTATTTTGCGGTAATATATGTGTTACTACGTTTAAACACATGATTCTCATTTTGCTAATAGCGATCAATCAGTCATAAACGAATGTTCACTGACCAAAGTTTACACTAGTACCGGAAAAGAAAATCCACAAGAAACTAAAGGAAAAGTACATGAAAAGATAATATCTATTATTGTTGAGTCGTAGACTTCAAAAATACAACTGAGTGAGGATGAATATGAATGGCACAAATTATCCAGATTTAAATAATCGAATGAATGAATGAATAAATCTGTCTTGACAAACAATCCCGAAGACACTCATTCAGTATCTCCAACCATATACAGGAATGATCATGCAGACCATAACCAGAAATTCTAAATTATCTCATAGGTCTCAGACCGACAGCCAAAAACTTCACGGTCTGACCGCTCCTTGAGACCTTCTACACTGATTCTATACTGGACACCATCCTATATCAATATAAATGACGATTGATGAATTTGTTATTCTTCCCCAGCCACCTCAGTAGTGTGACAACCAAGTATCGTATACTTGTCCGAGTAATTAAGAAAGATCATTCCAGATAACTATTATACACCTTGCCTATCATGCTGAAGTTGACCTTAATTTGTAGTTATCAAAAGTTGAATAATTCCTGAAAAAAACAAATTATTTGTCATATTTGATGAAGTTCACTACTGTTAATTAAAACTATAAACGAAACTTCTTAATGTTGACGAGACGTTTCTTTTGTTTTAAAAAATGTCAGGACGAAAATATTTATTTGAAATAGCGTAGATTACAAATAGTGTTTTTCAGTTCATCACACTAGTGTACATTGGAAAAGATGTTTGCTGTGATGAAATCAATTGGTAAAACTATACTTATTTTCATTCATTAACAATTATAAACTTAATAATGTCAAATAAATACATTTTAGCACATGACGGTCAATACTATAAAAATACACTTCAAATGATATTCCTAGACAACTTCGAATATGGAATGATCGAATAGAGAGAAAATGAGTGACAAAAAACGACACCATTGTATACAAGGGAATCATGTCTTTCTATGTCTAACGGATAAACATTTCAAAATATACACGTATTGTGTATCTGGTATGTTGATGGACGCATTTAAGTAGGACTCACTATTTATGGGAGATTTTTAATTTTAAACATCATGAATTGACAACAGTTGGAAAACAGTTGTAGATAGGAGAGCAGTAGATGGTTTTTTCGATTTTATTTGGAACGCGTCAGTATAACCCTCAGCTTGTACTCTTCTGATCTTACGGTGAACATAACGCCGTTTAACTACTGCATCGTGAACTAATAGTCCGTATTTTTCTAACTCAGTGTTAAATTAGTAAACGTATTGCGAATCTTTGTTTAGCTTGATTTAAAACTAAATAAAAACTATAGTCCGAGTTTCATTCCCGCAAGTTTTCTCATAGATGAATATCTTGTTATATCTTATATCTAATTTTGAGGCTAAGTTAGTCAATCATACTGAATACCACGTGACAATACTTTATGTTACGATTATCCTCCAGTTCATATTTTCTACTGTCTATACGGAACTGTAATATTTTGGGGATATTCAATGATTTAAAATTAAGCATGTTATTAGTAGAAGTACATTCACAATGTCTTAATAATAAAGGCTACTAAGCTGACTAAAATGAAATTTGTGTTTACTTTTATTGCAAAAAGTTGCTAAGGGTATAAACGATCGTTCTATAGTATCAGTCTATTATCAGCGTCAGCTTATCTAAATATTATGACTGCAAGAAAAATAACTTATCTAGTTAAATTTTAAAGATAAATTTATTCTAATAGTTTCACAGTACTTCGGCGCCGAGTTAATGTGAGACATTAAAGAGGAAGAAAAAAGCTTGGACCTGATTGCCAGGCGAAACGTTGGATTCACTTCAAAATTCATTCGCTGAGATTTTACAAATACATTCTTCCTCTTTAATATAAATTTATTCTGTTTTTGCATAGTGCGTCTAAAGCATATCATGTATTGACTGGATAACCGTTTAAAAGTAAGGACCACATAACACGTGTTTTTTTAAGTTTGGAACACATATCCACGGTTCCACATGGATTACAACTCAATATACTCAGATTGCACGAGAATAAAAATATCTTTAAACTGATGAGTCCAAATCCTATGGTTTACAGCGCTAACCTCAATCTATTCGCCACTTATTGTGACAACCATCCACTGTTATCAGTGATAATTGCTTCACCTCCTACATAATTGTTTTCACTGAATAATTTCGACCAATGACGAAACGAATCACCAGTGGTCCTTCATTTTAAAAAGCTTTTTCAGTTGATACCAGTCTAATGAAAAATGTGCTTGACTAAGTCTATCTAAATGATTCATCTAGACGAAAAAACACCCTGGTGTCATTACACAATAACTTGGTAACGGTACGATGATAATATTTTATACTCAATTATTTTCAATTTAATACCAACAAATAGAAATTGAAGAAAAAAATTTATAACAGTGACAAAACTAACATAATCGATAACCGATATCTTGTGTAACAGTAACAAAATAGAAACAAAGAACAACAAAACGTTAAACCAAGTCGAATGAAATGTTACATAAAATCAAAACACTGCTGATTATATTTGTAGTAAAGGTAATATGTGCATACTATCATTGGAATATAAACTTTATTATGTACTATGTTTTAGGCAAACCATCCTTTTTTAAAATTAGTCTAAATGGGAACTTTGGTAAAGAGTCAAAGATATGACGTAAAAATGAGTCTGTTATCGTAAAACAAAGTTACGTAATCAAAATTTTGTGTCATCTTAAGGAATAGTTACCATTTCAACACAACTTGTGAACTTTACTTATTTAATTTACATCTTATAAAACAACAAAGCAGATGAATATCTGGAGTATGTTTGTTCACTTTAACTGAGGCAGTTCCTTGGCTTTAAGGACTTTACAAGAATCATTTCATTCAAATCAATATTTAATATATATATTTCCTGGTATTAAATAGTTTATACTAATTAATGGTCATGAAAGCTATTTGTTTGCTCTCCCTGGGAATTAAAAACGATCTTTAAAATTAAATTTATTCGTTGATTTAATTTAGAGTCTATATTACTGAATATGTCTATTCATGTGAAAATGTTAGTCAAAATATAACAATTGGACAATACATGATAAAAAATGACGTTTCTCCACATTGAATGTCTTGATATTTTAAATTTATTTTATTCAGTGGTTATGCTGTCATTGCTCAGTATCAAAAGGTAAAAATTAGATGTTCATAAAATGCTACGATTCAATGGTCACTTTACATTCGTCGACTGCTCTATCACTAATCAACATTATAGACTTGTTGGATTGAATCTAAACTCATTTAAATAACTAAGACAGAATAGAAATGGAAATCACTAAACTACTTGTCAATTGTTTCATTCTAACTTGGTATTATTCAACAGTCAGAAATTTTCATTTTATTGAGAGCCTAAATTTTATAAACATAGTGCTAATTAATAATAATAATAATACAAGAGAAAACACCGTTCGACAACATGATGATAAGTTGGAAAAATAAATCATCTTTAACTTAATCGTATAAAAAACAATACACACATATACACATGTAAGAATAATAAGAAATAGATGTAACTAAATAGAAGTAACTTACTTATCAGTCATCCAGTCATTAAGTGCTTGTGTATTTTGTAGATAACTATCTCTTGAAATTGCTGTACTTACTAGATCATTCAATGATACTTTTAGATGTTCATCTAACTGTGTAATTAAATTCAGTCGAAATTGCTCAGCTAAATCACACCAGACAACATCATGTACAAATTTATGCTTATCATTATCTGGACTATTGGAATTAGTTTGTTCCGTTATTTTAAACTCTTTCAATTGTAAATTTAAATTATTTAATGATTGTGTTGATGCGGTTTTCATATTTTTCTCATCATGACGTCGACGAATATTCATCTCATCAACTAAAGATTCTTGCATCCCTTTTCGATCAGAATAAAATTTTGCTTTTTCACAATAGTAAACAATATTGAAATTCCTTTCAATGGTTATATTGATTTCATAAATCAATGTGCCTTTCTGTAATTATTCTTTGATAATTACTGTTTGCTTTTTTGAGAAAAATATATTATAAATGTAAACACTAAAGAGATAATACAGTTAATCTATAGTTTATTTGATTTATATCTATGATTGTATACATCAGTTGAACTTTACTCTGTCCATTGGTATATATATATAAATATAAATCTATACATACACTTTATAACTATTATGATTACTGTAATTATTATGTGAATGGTGATGAAATTGGAAAACGTGATTGGTCATATTATTCATCTAACTGATGACGTATAAAATTCACTTAATTTTTTATTTAATTTAGTTTACATTAAAAAATATTATTACTATTATAGTCGATAGATTTTATGTAGATACATTTAATTTGTCTGTTTCTACATAATAGATTGATATCAGTTGGAGTGTCCCTTCAACTTAGAGAGTATATGACGTCTTTTATTCTGGTTTATGATTCCTAAGGAAAATTCATCCACAAACCCTCAATGATTAAATGTAGAACTGTCAGGTCCGGCGACAAGTGTTTAACCTTAAGAACACTGAGTTTAAATCCACCGATCCATATCTGTGACTTCGACAAGTTCATAATGATTATTTGTTTCTGTAATCGCTGGATGCCAAGTAAAGTCATTAGTAAGTACATGATGGTTGGTTGACCACAACATTATATCCCCACTCAATTGAAATTGGATATTTTTAGCTATTCTATTCCAGATCAGGTTTCTCTATGTTAAGTACCTGCCCCGAGAACTAAACATCTTCCGTTCAGACTCTAACAGATTGCATGTGGTTACCAATGAAGAGCCTGAAACCGGGACAAAACAATATTCAAGTGGTCATAGCTCTCGTTAATGCCACAACTAATGACCAATCAATGACAGAAACCACATACTTATCAATATCAAGAAAAGATAGTTAAGCTATGATTGAACTTTTCTTAGCTGATTATTATCCTACAAGAGTTTCATTTATAAATCTGTAGCAAGAGAATAATTAACACAAATAAGTGGACAAATATTCTGCTAGCATAGGTATACTATTTTTCAGAAAACGTTTACAGATTCAACACTTTATTAGGATGTAAATGGCGAATACTTAGTCCGAAAACCATTCTAACTGAATATTATCCTACTCAGCTTGTGATGATAAGAATTACTTAAATAGCAAGGAAATATGATACGTTTCTAGATGATCACGTTTACTAAAGATGAGATTGAGACAAATCATGAAACATCTAGAATAAACCAGTATATTGGATGAATAGATAAATGATCTCCAATGTTAGAAATAATAAAGGTGACTGGTGTAGCAAAAAATGTAACCAATAAAACAGACCAACACCTGGACATTTTTTCATTTGGGAGGTATAAAGATGATAGTAAAAATAATAGATGAATGTATAGACGCTTGTTAGCTATCCAGCTAGACAATGAGTGTACATGAAAATAAAACTAGAGTAAAGGTGGCAAAAACGTATTACAAAGTGAACAAATAAAGGATCAAAGATTACTTGCAGTGTTGAGTATATATTTTGTTCAGATTTCGTATATTTTCAACATTAGTTTCATAATGAAACAACATTACCTGGATGACGACTGAAAATTAGGAAGTTATAGTTAATTATTATATATTAGCTTTACAGTAGATTTCTCGAATTTTCTTCACGAAGCTGTGACCTATGGAACACTGAGCTGTAAAATAAATCAACTGTGTTCGAAAATCTGAACCACTAGATTTCAAAATGGTTACCAAATTTTGTCCTTCTGGCCTCCAGATCTGAAAGTCTCAGCTTCGATCCTGTGTGAGGTCACTGGTACAGACTCCTGAAGAGTCATATACGAGGACGAGACATCTGACTACTTCTCCTTGGCTGTCTAAATGGTGCAGTTCCATGAGTAAATTAACCTTGGTATGAATCCTCTAATCTATTCAAATCGCATCTGTTCTGTTCGTGCTATTTACATACATCTAGCAACTAACTTTCGATTAAAGGAATAATTACCTATAAACCCCTTGGACAAGATTTATTAAGGTTTTTTGATCACCTATTAAACATTTCATGTTAAAAGCATTCAGTTTAAAACAATCACGACGAATTTTAGCCATCTATCAGCCAATCAGAAAACAGCTCTTATAAATAAATAGTTCGTGAGAAATGAACAATACTATAAAAAAGGATAAAATGATTTTACAAGAATGATGAATATATCAATGTCTTCTATATATTGTTTTGTTTGTAAATTGAAAAAATAAGAAAATATATAGTCCGACTAAAAAATCCGCATCACATTAAAATGCTGACATATGAACGAAGAATATTCTTTACAATAACATCTCTTCAGGTTCTACAGTTGTATATTCAAATTAATAATTCCAAAAGTGGCCATGTTTAAGGATAATACATTGTTTAAAATTATAACAAGTAAATTTAAGATTAATCTTCAAATAAAATAACAATAATAATGTTGAAATGACTAAAATATGCAGTGTTAACTTAAACAAGCCCATACGTTAAATAAAATTATGGAATTAATTATCTGTATAGATATTGGTAACATAAATTAGGAGAAATAATAATGCAATCACAAATCAAATCAAATGTTTAGTCGAAGATTATATCGTATATAAAGTTATATGAATTCAGTATGAAATAATAAAGCGGGTTGAGTGCTAATTATACTCATATGTTCGGAAGATTAATAGTAATACTGAACCAGTAATAATAATACAAAGATATTTGATTAAAAATAAGTAAGACCATAATAGTAAGTATCCACAATTCCGGATGCGAAATCGAACCCGAGACCTTTGGTCTAGAAGTTAAGCGTTCGCTCACGAGACTGAAGATCTTGCGTTCGATTTCACTAATTGGAGCATTTTAAATTATATCAACCTTGGATGCTCTATACACCTGGTGTTATGCACTTAGGCTACTGTTTAATAAATTCTACGGTTGAGATTTCTACTGCTAATCTCAAGTCTTTAGTTACTTTTCTCACTTGCGATCACAAACTGGAAAACTGTTGTCAGATAATAATTCATAATTTCAACTCTGCACGTATAACAAATATTTAGGAAATATTAGAGGTCTAGAAGTTAAGTGTTCGCGCGCGAGACCGGAAGTCCTGGGTTCGGATCCCGCGCATCGAAACGTGGACCCACACTGCTGAGGAGTCTCATACTAGGACGAGACGGCCCTCCAGTGCTTCGAGGTTTTCAGTGGTGATCTAACATCAATCGATTCATGATCTCAAACAAAAACCTAAAAATAACAAAAAGGTGTTTTAATGCCTTTGTAAACCCATTAATTCTGCATCATTTTCAAACTCTTTCGCTGAAAACTGATAGCTTGGTCTATGTATTACTCAACCTAAATACTTTAAGTCAATATGAATTATTCAACAGCTTTACTAGACACATCAAAAATATTATAATTTATTCGGTTAAAAGTTCTGCTGACCTATGTAAAACGGTTAAATTGATTGAAGCTGAATGATAGGTCAAATAAATAGGTCAAAGAGGTTGCATGCTATCAATTACTCATGATTCAGAATTAAAATTTATCATTATACATGTTTATATATATACATATATATATATATATATATATATATATATATATATATATATATATATATATATATATATAATATATATATATATATATAACCCAATGATTTTCATCACAAACTTAGTGACATACAAAATAAACTGTAATTGCCACCAGCCATTAGTAAGTACGAATCCTATCAACATATAATATGCTACTAAGCTAGTCAAATTTATCGAAATATTATTAGACATATTTCTAATTAAAAGTTGTACATGTTCCAATTTGATTTAAAACGCATTTCATTTAATCCCAGGTAGTTTATTGATTTAATTTAAGTATATAGGTAGGCAGTTGTGTTTTTCGTTTTGGTAAAGAAACTTGTTGAAATACCTTATTCTGAGTATTCTCTATTTTATTAAGTGTATAATATTGAATAAAACCATTATTATTAATAATAATAGACTGATATAAAATATCTTCAACACAATGTAACATGACAACTTAATGAACAGTTAAATCTTTCAGGCTAAAATTATTGTTGATGATGTTTAGAAGAGCAATCAATGTTTCACTATAAAACCATCTAGCTTCAAGAAAACAACACATGTAACAACATAAAATTTTCTTAAAATTTGGGTTATCAGAGACTTTGATTTTTGAATAAATATTGTTTTTTCTCCTGTATATACAAGCTGAAATGTGACTACTCATTGTAATTAATAAAGTGCTTATCGCTAAATGATTCTATAAAATTATTCGACTAACTAATCGACCTATTCACAGTTCACACTTCAATTACTGGTCTTCGGGTAATCAGTTAAATAGGTTTTATGTCGGATGGCAAAAGGTAGTCAATGGGATGCTCTGAAAGTGTTTTGCGCTGGTAAGCATTTGTCAATAAGACGCATCTTCAGCCTTTAGCGAACTTGTTATCTTTAAATGACCCGAACCATCGTTGCCTAGTATCACAACTAGAGAGTTTGTCACCGAACTATCCAAGTAGCGACTAACCTACAGTATGACTGAGAAATTTACGTTCATTAATCATTACGTAGTAACCCTCAAATGCCCTGGTACAGCCGAGGGTGGGGATAGTCAGCTCTCTCTCTCTCCAAATGCACTCACATGACCACGCATATAAAGCCATTGCCAGGGAAGTCCTACTCACTGCCTTCTCGCACCACGGGTGTTGTTCACGAAATTGAGAGGATGAAAAGCGAATCATTGGCGCTTTAAACGGGTTGGTAGATATGGAGAATCCATCTAAGGGAGTTGGAAAACTCGTATTCGAAACCGATGGTACACATGGGCTCCAGGATCTTAAGATAACAATTGGCATATGAACCTA